TGCTGTTGTTGTTGCTGCTGTTGTTGTGTGGTCCTGCTGCTGTTGTTTTTGCTGTTGTTGTTGCTGCTGCTGCTGTTGCTGCTGCTGTTGTTGTGTGGTCCTGCTGCTATTGATGCTGCTGCTCCAATTGTGATGGCTGATTGCATTTCAGCCAATTTATCATAGGAAAAAATGATGGCTTTTATCAATAGTTAAATATGGCATTAGAAAATTCCTAATAAACTCACTGCAGGGTCTCCCTGCTGGTCTTGCATTCTTTGGTTTTCTTCCACTCTACTTCTTTAGTCTCAAAAACATTGTTGCTGATGTTTAATTTGTTTTTATCTTAAATATTCAGGTAATAATGTCGATAAAGCCCAACATCTTCTAGAAGAAAGTGGTTTGCCATTGATTTCTGCTCATGATATGGATGATGCTGCCATCAAGGCTGTAGTCAGCCTCAGTGATTAGAAGATTATTAGCCTTCTGTTCCCAGTTGTACAAAGGGTGGATAAGTACTATCCAATGGATACTGTAAATCTTACCCAGTGGATAAATTTATTGGATAAGAGCATGGACTTATCCACTGGATAAGGATTTATCTATTGGATAGAGCTATCCACCCTTCATACAACCAGGCCATGGGGTTTTTAATGTAGTATGTAGTTTCAATTTCAAGCTAGTACGACCAGATAATAATATTGAAACTTATTTGTTTGAGGCAAAACAAAAGAAAATATTTGAAACTAATTTGGTTTAAAGAAATACAGTTACAATATCCTTGAGAAGAACTGGGAATTTGGTAGGGGAGTGGCATCAAAACATGTGACTTCTCCATTAGTACCTTGGGTATGGAATGAATGGATTTGGACAACTCAAGCTTTTTATCAGAAATGTTATGTATTTTTTTAAAGCCAAAATGTGTAGTTCCAGAAAATATCCATACCCACCAAGGGAAAAAATTGGAAATTCTGGGGAGAGGGGGGTTAGAGAAAGAACAAAATTACAGAGTTTGCATGGAAGAAAATTGGAAGTTCCTGGGGGTAGGGGGGTCCTTTTACAGATTTCCTCCGTGGTGAGGGTATGGATATTGTCTGGAACTACATAATATAAGGAAACTTGTCATGCCTGGAGTTTTCTTTACCAGAGAAGTATGAAGAGCTACCTTCCTTGATTCCATACTTTAGGTCTGTTTTAGCTTGAATTCGAATAACTTTGTTTAAACTGGTATATAAAACAAGTTCACTGAATTACTGTATAATTCGTAGTGAACAGTACTTTTTTATAAATGAAGGCGAAATTATTAATGAATGCTTGGAACTTATCTTCAATTCTTTTATTTTGACTACTTTGGCTCAAAATTTGCCATACATTTATAGATCTTTGCACTTCACAGTGCCCATTGTAAATTGTAGCAATTTTGTTCTGAAACTTTTAGCTGTGTGGACAGCAAAGTACTAGTATATTTTACAATTTGATTTAAACAAGCTATTTGTTTAGTTTTTCTGTTTTCTGTTTTTTGTTTTGTTTTTATTTCTTGTTTTCGTTTTTTTTKTTTKTTTTTTTTTTTTTATTATTATTAGTCCCTTTTCATTTAAAACTCGATTTTTTTGGACAGTGTAGCCAGGAGATCATGGGAAAGCGTTATCAATATGACATTTAACTAAGATGAAATTAATAAGATAGAAATTAAGAAATGCTACTTTTTTGTATTGTCAATCATATGAATGAAAATAAAAGGTGTGATAAGTATTTTATTCTTTTGTTAGTTTTAAATGTTATCTTAGTAATCGATGTACATATAAAGTTGCATATGGCAATGATAATAATAATATTCATTCACTAAATAATAAACATATCCAATAGCGCTGAGAACAAAACTAGCGATGAGCAAAACAAACAGAAATGATGTCCTTAATAAAGCCTAAATGATGAAAAGACTGATCAAAACAACAAATTTGCAGTGGCTCCCTTGGTTTTACATGTTAAGGTCTTGAAACAATTGGTACTGGCATCTTACATCTTATAGAAGAAATAGAAAACAGTGTGCAGTTATAATGTACGCGGGGGTTGGCGAAACACAGAGAAGCATGACGTGTAGCGGAGTGCTTCTCGAGTGTTCTGTCAATCCCCAAGTGCTTTATAACTGCACACAGCACAGCAAGCAAGTTTTTTAATTCTTTTATAAAATACAAATTACAATATCATAGGAACTGACGCAACTGAAAGTGCGCGCACTTGCTGTGTGCTCTCATAAAGCACGCGCTCCCAACCCATCAGAACGCGAGATTTATAAGTTACATCTTACGCTTATGTAAATATTACTCACTTTCGTTTTAAGGAAGTAAGAGCTTGTTTAACCTCTGAGTTTGTTCTCTTGCATGCCCCCCCACAATATTTATAACTTATTCAATTTATCTATGTATATGTTTCGTGTAAATAAAAATTGTTGTTGCAACTGTTATTTTATATATCCGGATATTCAATATCCCAGTCACATCGAAGACAAACAAAAATATATTTTTCATTTGCAAGAGTAAGGCGATAGGGGGTGGGGGTGGGGGTGGGGGGTTATAACGGGGCCTACATAATGTAGTAACGAGAGTTAGTAGCCCTGGAGCTTGACTCATAGATCACATTTGTCAAAATTATATCCTTTAGTAACAAGCAAATACCTCTTCTTAAGATCTTGATTTATTTTCTAAAAATGTACATCTAACATTTCATATGATATTATGTATGCCATTAGGAATGGAAGAACAGAGTTGTGATTATTATAAATATATTAGTTCATATTTTATGTTCATTTTGGTCAATTGTAACCGAACTGATAAGGCGCTGCAAGAATTGGTAAACATAGCTGTATTACTTAGGCATTTATAGTTATAAGTATAGTACTCCATTGGAGAAAGGACTTGAGAAAGAAGAAGGGGATGAGAAACTTAAAAAGGCGCTGTTATACGCCCTTACCAATTATGTGTAGCAAATAACTTTGTACGAGTAAGGCTCAGGTCAAACGTTGATTTTCACATAAGCCGCGCATTCAAATCATTTCCCACCGTTGTGCGGAAAAGTGGTCGAATTTACCAAAATCAAAAGTATGAATGCAGGTTTGTTTTCAAAATATAAACCTAAGGTTTTTTGTTCGAAAAATGGTCTTTTTCTGCATCCGCGACAATAATCAGATTTACATGAAAGCTAGTTATGTCAAATTAGATTGGCTAAAATTAATGTATGCATGTGTGCATGAGGTCATACGACGTCTGATATAATATGCTATCCAAAACTATCTATCAACAAGTGCCTTTTCAAATCGCTGCCATACAAAATACTGGCAAACTGATTGATTTGATTAAAAAGCTGTTTGTGACCAACATAATGAGGAAAACGAAAATATGTATATTAGGGGTTATTCTAAGATATGCAATAGACAAAGGGTCACGTGGTCAATTTCTCGCCCAAATAAAAGTTAATAAACTAGTCGAAAAATAAAAATGCATCCTAAAAATATTTAAAAATACAAGGCATTTTAGTATATGTTTTTGATTGGCGGAATTAAACACCCAGACGTCAATTAATCTTAGCCATTCTGTTACATACAGCTATTTCAGAAGGGGTTTGAAGGAGAGAAAGGGCGAATGATGATCGGTGATTGCACGACCGAAAGGAACTGTGGGTATATCTAAACACAATTAATGGAGATTTTTTAAATGCTTTCGTCGACTACAAACAACAATAATTTTCTCAACACTAACCTTTGTATTAATGAGTAATAAGAAACAACATTCATTCCAGCTATTCTTAGATCTTGGATGACTTGTTTCCTATCTCCGTATGCCCCTTCAATGTCGGTTTTTTGTTATATAAACTTATTTCAATAAAGTTAGTCACCAAAAACCTAGAAAGCTGAGATCACTGAGCATCATAGGAAACTTTTCATATCAAAAAAGCATATATATACAAAGCTTTATTAATACAAACTGCAGCTCGATGATGCTCAGAAGAGGTGAGACTATAACCGGTAAAAGATTCGTAAGTCTATAAACAGTTATCAAGCGATTGAACATGTAAAATGAATCTACCCATAATCCTTGTCGGCCTCAGCTTTATAGCTTCTCAGTTGACTAACTTTATTGAAATAAGTGTATTTCATTCAGGCCAAAAGGCGGGGAAATCACGTGACTCTCGTAAATAGAGAGTTTTCGTTATGCTGTAAGATTATCTAAATGCGTTTCTCTTTGCGAAGCCAAACTATTCACTTAATGTATAAGAATATCAACAGTATTACCTCAAATACTAGTGATTCCATCTAAGCCGTGAAGCTTGCAATAATCAAGACGTAGCCTTTTACTAGACTTTTTCAGGAGTTGAATGGAATGCCTCCCTAGTACTTGAAGCAATTTTCAATCATGTGATGATAATTCGCTGAATTGCGCATGCGTCATCTTTTTCCAGTATGATAAAAGTAAAAAGTATTCATTTTCAAAACTAAAAGTAATTTTGATTCCATTTTTTAAAATGTTAGTCGCGTCGATAGCCTTTCTCAATCTTTAATAACCGTTATACGATGTGTATATGTCCGGGTCTTGGAATATTTTATACAGCAGTCCAATATATATCGGAGAATAAGAACTGATTTACGTAATACATCCTGGAAATTTTTTAACAATAAGACGGCGTGTTTTACTGGCTCTTGATTATAGTATATTACATGTTGAGCTCCGCGGAGGAGTTGATACTGAGCCATTCGACATATGCTTTGAGTGTGATTGATTTTTCGAGATTTCTTCGACGATTTTAGCAACTTTGACCACGGCTTTAGCAGCAGCATCGCTATTACCGTCCACAACAGCCTGAGCGACTTCAGCAGCTGCAGCAGCCGCTTTCACTGCTTCAGGAGAATTGTCCGCTTTTGAAATATGCTGCGCCGTCGCTCCAGCAACAGCGGCTGCAACTGCACTAGCTGCCATGCGCTGGACCTGAGTCTCTTCGCTTTCTTCGGGCTCCACAATGTCGGCTATGTGAGGCTTCGAGAAGCTTAATATTTCAGCCCGTTTTTCTAGTTCCTTGGATTTCTCGTGATTTATTAAGCTTGTCTTTCTGGTGTCTTCTTTATGATTTGTAGGCGAAGACTGTCGATGAAGAATTCTAAGATTGCTCTCGTTTTGAATATGGAAGGTGTTATCGGGGCTAACTGGAGGCTCCGGTGGGTGTATATCTCCTGTACCGTATAATATACCGTTACACTGCGTGACAAGCTTTGTTAGTTGTGCTTGGTCGTACTGGTGTGAAAGCGCTTCACCAAAACCAGCGTCAAAATCCAAACAGATCGCGTGACTCTTAAGTTTAGTTTCAAGCTCGTTGTCGACGGGCCAGCTGGTCTTGTCGAACAGTAACGCAATTACTGGCTTGTGATTCTCAAGAGCAAGATTGATGTCCTGCTGGGCACGTGACCATTTCAAGTAACTGGGGACAAACAAAAAGAAGCTCAACATTAGGGGTACACTTTTACGTTTACATGGTTTTCCCATAGTTGAAAGATTGCAATACGGCTACTGGAAAAAAAGAGGAGCACGGAGGGGGGGGGGCGGGAAAGCGAAGAGAAAAAAAAGAGAAGAAAACTGAGAAGACAAAAAAAAAAAAGACAACACAAGACAGGAGAATACATTAAAGAAGACAAGTCTGGAAGACAACAGAAGAGAAAACAAGATATTACAAAAGGAAGGGAAGGGAAGACAAAATGAGAAGACAAGAAAAAACATGACCAGACAAGAGAAAAGTCTGGAAGAATAGAGAATAGAAGAGAAAACAAGATATTAGAGAAGGGAAGGGAAGGGAAGGGAAGGAAAGGGAAGGAAAGAATAAAAAACAAGGCAAAAACAAGACTGAGATGAAAAAAGAAGAGAAGAGAAAAAAGAAAGAAGAGAGGAAAGGAAAGGAAAGGAAAGGAAAGGAAAGGAAAGGAAAGGAAAGGAAGAACAAAATATTAAATAAATAGCGAAAGAAAGAAACATGGCAAAGATGACAAGGAATGAAAAGTCCAGCGTAAATTCAATATGAAAAAACGTCAAACAAGTCCTATTCCTATCTTTACATCCTACTATCAAAACATGTCCTTTACAAATGGAAAACTAATGCCTGTTCTACGTCTACTTTTGAATGATGCAATCAGAAAGAAAGGAAACAATATGTCACGATGTTAATCACGAGCGTTTATACTGGCAAAACAAAGTTCGAAATGTCACGTACTAAAAAGTCTATGTATCAACATGGTTAAGTATGAGACGTAGACGATGCTATCAATCACATCATACTACAGAAAAACATCCTGAAAAGGACTGCGCTTCGTGACTTTAGAGTCAAGTATTATGCATAACAGTCTTTAAAGAACAATTTGCTGAGTCAGCCATTTAAAGCCCCGTTTACACTAGCGATTTTTGCGGCGATTTTTGCTGCGACTTTTCTGCGATTTTGTCCATAATAAATAATGGTAGAGAATTTACTTGTAAATAATTTTTCAGGATACCAAGATTTTCATAGACGAATGTCTCTTTTGAAGGATGAGACAAAAGATTTCATATTTCCGAAAATTGCCATAAAAATCGCAGCAAAAATCGCTGCAAAAATCGCCAGTGTATACGGGGCTTAAGGTTTTCAATCAACTTAAATAATGGCGTCCTAGTTTGACTCAAATACAAATAAATAATGGCCTTGATCGAGAGAAAATAAGATTGATTGATAACTAATTACTCGGAAAATCTAAGATGGTGGTTCATGGAAATAAAGTTCAAGCATACTTATGAGAGGCCAAGACGCCACAAGTATCATCGGAAACGAAGCAGTCTCTTGTAGTTAAAAGAATCAAAAGCTCGGGTAGTTTTTTTTAAAGATAACTTATAGCTAAAAGACATTAAAAAATGTTCTTTGGACAATGTTCTGTGAAATGTTGCTAAAATTTATAATATATAAAGTTAAAAGTTAGTGCTTTAGATGATATTTATGGAGCCCCAATTATGGAACTCTCTCCCAGACCATATTCAAAGAGAAGAAAATGTGCCGGGCAGGATTCCAAACCAAGCTTAAGACATTTTTATTTAAGAAATATTTTAGTTGAATAAGTTACGCAATGTATATAACTGTGTTTAGACTGGATAAAAGGGTAAATTTTATACCGTGAAAAGACGAAAAAAACTTACTGACGTTTAGGAAGCTAGTCCTTTCTTCCTTTCTACCGCCTCTTCCTCTTTTACTCCGACGAAGGACTAGCGTTCGAAACGTCAGTAAGTTTTTTCATCTTTTCACGGTGTAAAATTTACCCTTTTATCATTACTGTTTCATTAGAAAGACCGATGCAGCTCACACTAGTTTTTAGCTAGTTATCTCTTCTTGTATTTAGACTGTCACTCATGTAAGGCGCATTGAGGCTAGAAATGCGCCCACAAGCATCTACATCTTATTATTCCTATTACATTAAAAGATGGCACTCGTTTATAAACTATACTTTCATCATTAAACATTTAACATTAATTTTTTTTTTAATTTAAATTACTACTGCGAATAGATTGCTGGTTTCTTTTAACTCCAAATATAATTGTTAAAACATCTTGAACAAGTAGCTTTGTGTTCTTATTAGTTTGCGTTCTATTTCTTGCCCACGATATAGCAGGAAATGTTCATGATATAACGTGTGTAAGTTACGAAACGAAGATATATTAATAAACTAACTCTATTTTCAGCACAACATCGACAAATTTGTAAACAAAGCTATATATAATTTTGTTTTCTTTTCTATTTGAAAGAAAACAGGAAAATTCAGGAACATCGGATGTAAAATCAAGAAGCATTTAGTACCGGCCGGCTTGAAATTATATATTGACCTATATTTTTAGAAATTTTTTGCCCATTGTATTTTCTATTGAATCACATTTTGCCTTGGTCTTACTACATAAACAAGTTATATGGTAATTTTTGGAGTTTGCATATTGACAGCGTTTGAGATGGAAACTTTGTATTTGAAAACACTTTCAATGGTTGATGAATATTGTGACAACTGATGTAAATAAATTACAAACGATATCCAGAAAATTCTTTAAAACACCGTTTTCTTTCATCTAAATTGAAAATACTACATTTAAATTTATTTTACATTTATTTTATTCATTTATTTTATTTTATTTTTTAAATTATAAATTGTGGACTGACCTAAAATTTCAATGTCGACTATAATATTCGTTAAGATTTTAGAGTTAAATTGAAACTATATGAATGGCTTAGTTCGTATATATTTTTTTTTTTTGTACTTTAACGGTAACTCAAATGTATTTTTTCGTATATGAATGAATTTTAGCGTATGTGAATGGATCAAAATGGTGTTTACGAATTTGGTAAAAACAAATTTAACTCATATTCTTTTTCTTTTTCTTTTTCTTCTTTTTCTTCTTTTCCACGAGATTTAGTGTACTTCTCTGTCGGACGATTCACTATTGGCATACAGAATCTCTCTTTACATCAGAAAAAACTTCGAAACTATAAAACGAATTACTGAATTGCAGCTTGGACTGGACTGACGACTAAAAGTTAAGTGTGATTATTCAAGTAATCCATATACTTTGATAAGCATGCTCGAAAGAAAGGAAACTGAAAAAGATAAATTCATAAAACTAAACAGTTAATACCATCAATAGCTTGAGAGAAATCAAAATATATTTTGCTTTTCAGTTCTTGTTTCTATATTTCTCATTCCAATTTTGAGATTGCGATTAGCTTTTTGGAATATGTCTCGGCTATCTGATAAATATAATCCCGTTAAGATGAAAACGGCTCCAGGGTTCTCTTTTATCGATCAAAAACTAAAAATTAAAGAAACCTTTAGTAGGAATCCACGTTAGATTACGAATAATTATTACGTTCATTTGATACTTTGAATCTTTTTGCACTTTTACAAAGACCTGTCCACACTTCTCTTCGATCAAACCGACCTGGGTTTATTGAAATAAAGAAACTCTTGGGGTAAAATTTAAAAAAAGACTGGAAAAAATCCTGACTTGTTTACCTTAGGGCTGGTTTATCGATGCTAGGTTTTCTCCTTTGCGGACAAGTCCAGTTCACAGCGTTCAAATTTCCTTGATATTCAGGTGAAACTCCTCATAGACTTGTAGTTATCTTCGTTATAAATATTCCAATCGGTTTGTTTATTATCTTGGATACAGCGCTCTAATGCCTGTTTCTATGCGACAATAAATCTTCGGCTGCGAAACAGCTGAAAAACTAAGAATGACGTCACAAAGGAGGCGTGTCATTCGAAGTGATTGGCAGCTTTCAAGGACCTTAATTACGCTGATGACAGCTCTGATGAAAGCGCTTTCAAGCTCAAATGTTTTAAATCAAGGGAAATTGTGGGTTAAAGGAAAAAAAGAGGAGGAATAAAAAGCCATTAGTAGAAAGATTTAAAAGCTCCAAGTGAATCGACCTTATCTGGAAGCGCGCGGAGAGTTAATTTCGCAATAAAGCTGTCGGAAAAGTGTAGACTTGTGGGCTTCTAATAAAATTTCATGCGATACCATAAAAACAAATACTTATTCTAGTAAGCAAAATTAATTTTGTTCAGGGGAACTTTATACAGGAGAAAAGTAGGAAATTTTTTTGAAGAAACCTGTTTAACTTTCCGATTACATAACAATGATATGATGAAATGTAAAATTGATAAATTTACTAAATTTGTGAAGAACATGTGAAATTTGTGAGAAACACTGAATAAAACGCAAAAATGGAACGATATATAAGCAAAGATAGTCACTCTGTTGAGAAACGCAGCTAAGAATGAGTATTTGAATAGAAGTGTCAAACGCATCAACGGCGCGATTAAAACATCTCAAAATAAGAATAAAAATTTTCAAAAATTTGGAAAAATATATACATTGAATATATAAATCAGGAACTATACAAAAGCCTTTTTTTTTTAATATGTTTGCAAACTATCTGAAGATAACATGTAATTTGTAGCCGAGTATTTGCCATGGTTTTAAGGTCTTAGAAACTCCGTTTCACACGCTTACAGCTGTAATGAAATTTTGCACAGATGTTTCAGACGAGTCGGCTGCAAGGCTTAAATATTCGAGACTCATATAAGAGAAAAAAATATGTCAAATATTTTGACAGAAGAAATTAGAACAGATAATGAAAAAAAATAAACAAGAAAAATTGGATTTTCGAAATTGATGATAGGACTTTTTGATGTGATATTAATTGACATTGGTTTGTTCAAATGTGCAGTGTACTAACTACAAAGGTTTTGTATTCCAAAAGCCTCAGGTGTTTTTATGGATTAGTTGGAAGTTCGCTGCCAGTTAGGCAAGAGGTACCGGTCACTACTCTTGCAATACGCTTGCACGCTAATTTTTAATTTGATCTTTTCTTTTAAACATTGCGTGCGTCTTTACACGAGACGATTTTTTGCGCAACACTAT